ATATACATGTTTTTCTATAGAGGCTTTTTATATTCTAATCAGTATATATTCTTATTAATATTACTATTTAGAGAATTTTCCTCTTAAAATAAGAAACTCTTCTTGGCGCCTATTTTAGTATAAAATATACTTAAAGTAAGTGGGATATCCTCGAAACAAGAATACAATTTTTTCGGTGTATGCATATTTAATCGAATATTTTTTTAATAGAATTATAAAGATAAAAATATGTTACAATTGTTAAAAAGGGATATTTTATGCATCTTTTTTTTTTCTGACACAGATTTTGCAACGGAGAAGTGCAGCTATTGTGCGAATCCCAGGCAATAGAACATTAGATATGATTGTGTCGATGTAGTGTCAAGAATAAATCATCGGTCCAATTTACTTTCGCGATTGGATATCCATATACGTGCATTTCAAAAATGAGATAATATACTTAGCAACAGCCAGCCAGTATAAGCTATCATGATTTGATTTAACACTTTGCTCGTGACTCTTTCATTTTCGATCAACTTTCACCTAAGTGCTTGCAATCGACTTTTACCGTAAAATCGATCGAATATATATACTCGCTGAATAATATCCTTGTTTATTATAGTATCACTTTTACTGTGAAAATGTGTATTACCGTAAAGTGTTAAATTTCATCATTAGCGACAATTACGCAAGCGTGCAAAATTCTATGCTCGAAATATCGTGTAGTGAAATTGACATTTAATTTAAGATTTCACCTTTCAAGTGAAACCAACATTTTACGTAGTCATTACGCATATCGATATTGATTAGACACACGCAAAGTGATGAGAATAAGATATATAATCTGTATGAGATTTATTTAACCTTTTCAAGAACAATTCTTTTAGATTATAAATTGAAAGACAAGCCAGATAGAACGCACGTAATAATGTGAAAGCATCTTGGACAAACATGACGTGGAAAATAGCAATTAAAATCGATATTCGAATCACAGTACAATCAGAATCGATATTTATCTTCTTCGGTTTATCATCTATAAAAAAAAAAAAACGTTGACGCGAATCGAAGAACAATCTTATCTAAATTTTAAAGTAACGATTCTCTGCGATTTCACGACGTGGCACGTGGTTCATAATCGGAGCGAAGAAAACGCCGCAGGTGAATAACACGTAACAACACGTTTACTTGTACACGTCGTGCACGACGCGACGCCGCCTCTCTCTCTCTCTCTCTCTTCCTTACTTTTCTAATTTCTTCTCGCGGAAGCGACTTTACCGCGACACGAAACGGAAAATGGTCCGCCGTCGGGCGTCACCTCGTTAATCTCACCTCGTAAGAAGAATTGCATGTTCGCGCACGTCCAGTTACGCTCGAGGCTCAAATATGCTCGCTTTGCTAAAGCATATTTTCCAACAGAAACGTTTCGTAGAAATGCAAATTTATGAGGAAATTAAGCGAAGAGGCTTGAAATAAAGTTGCGAAAACTCTTTTAAGATATACTATACATATTCGTATAAAAACAGATATAGTGCAAAATAATAATTTTTTTGCTTACAACGTACCGTCTAAATTTATACACACTTATATGTCGACCAAGCGAGAAAATCGGCCTACTTGAAAAAACAGAAACGAGATTCAAATAAATCACATAAAATTGTTTATAATCTCGTGATCGCGTATAACTGAGATTTTTTATACGAGCATCACGCTCTGTTTATATCTACGCTTCGATATATTTTAGTTTCTCTCTCATAGCGCCCGCATTTTGATTGTCGAAAGTGGATGATATTTCATCGGATTGGGAAAAATAAAACAGATAACGCAGCAAATTTTCGCAAATGTTATTTTTCTTTCGATTATACTTACAAATAATAATACAAAAAAGAAAACAACTGTAACGGAAAGACTCTTCTTTATAAAGATTTATGCGCATTTATCGTGATTATTCTTTATAAAGATTTATATGAATTGCTAAGTAGCTGTGTGTTATACATTAACGCTAACAAGTATTATTTACACAATAGACAAAACCGCCGCTTCGAATCCATTTACGGGAACGACGTGATTGCGACATGGATCGATCTCGTGTTGAAATTTCTCGAAAAAAAAGGACTTTGTTACAACTTCATTAGATCCTTAATCTAAAAAAGATGTGTGATGTACATACATGTCAGATGCACACTCTGTGTGACTGTAATTAACGTTATTACACTGAGAAAAAAAAGTTGGTGAAGTAACAAAATAGTATTCGATTCAACTATATGAAGCGGTCACGGGCTAATCAATAAAATATTGATTAATGTAAGAAGATATCATGTTTCAATAGATATAATAATTAGATTATTACCGAAAGACAATTTGGTTGTTTTAACAAAATTATAATTTGCTCAAATACAGGTAACTTTGAATGTACAACACAATAGGACAACACAATATTTTGTCTGCTTATAAAAATAAGCAGTTTGATTAAATAAAAAATACTTAGTACAAAGAAATTCGGATTATATTCAATTAAAGTAAATGAGAATTGCCTATTTCATCTTTTTCAACAGTATCTTTTATTTGAAATTATCACAACTTATGTTCGACAAAACAATTCATGGTTTATCGAATTAAATATGTTTATTACCACTATTGTTAATTCAACTTATACGAATTTGTTATCTTTTTTTTACCATACGCTTGAATTAAAAAACCAAGTATTTCAGATAACAAACTGAAACTCAACTAAACGCAGTTTAGTTGAGTTAATAGTATTTTTTTCTCAGTGTATAAAAGTGATTTCGCGCTCGTCGGCATGTACACACAACTCACTACCGTTTCCTTCCCACACTTGATATATACGTTTCCGCGAGTTATACAGCGCCGTAGTCGCGAAACGCATTAAACTCGAATCGATTCTCACACTTGTGACAGAGAATGCAAATAGAAAGTTCGCGGCGGCTTCGGCGCGAATAGAATGTTGTCCTTACAAAGCAAACCACGCCAATAAGAGCGCATATTGCGGTTTTCTCGACGGTCGGGTCGCAGTGTGAACCTTACTCGCGGCAAACTTGCAAAATTCTACGTTACAAAAGACCGAGTATATACTTCCTACCAACGTCCGCATATCAAAATTATTGTCCAAGTTATTGTCTTGAAAGACGCGAACGCTTACATTACGAGATTTAAAAACATATAATATTAAAAAGCTTTTTGCACAATATATTATTAAACCGATTGGAATATTTTTAATGTATCACGTTGTATATTTTTAAAATAAAAATTTACAATAATTTTGATTAGTTCGGTGCAGAGTTTGTGCAAACCAATAAACCACAGCTCGATTGATCAACAAAAAAAAAGCATAAGCCATTCTTCGAACTGCCTTAAACGGATTTGATTCGACTAATAATTATTTTTTTTTTTCCGTTTAATCGCGTTCAAATCGCCTTTCATGCGATTCGATTCTGCATCGGACCGACGTTTTGTAATCGAGTCGTTCGAACATTATTACGTGGCTTGGGCTTTACGGGCTCGAACTTAAAAGGTCCGCGCGGGGCCGCGTGACGAGAATTTCGCTCGCGTCACGAAACTTCCACGGATATATCTTCTACGATAGTACAGTGTAGATACCTGCGAGAAATTGCCACGGGTAATACATCGTACATGCGTGCATGAGTATTGCGTCAGGTTGTTGGCTTTCACTCTCTAACATAAAACGTATACACGATACTAGGCTGAAAAGAAATGCTCTTGGGATCGCGGTCTGAGAAATAAAAAAGTACTTCGTTCAATGTTGATTTAAATAAATAAAATTTCTCCACTTTTACATTTGCCAATTTAATGACAAATATCGATGCTCGTTTGAATTAATCTTCTTGCTTGAAAAAAAAAAAGACATGTGCGACGAAAAAGAAATCTGAGTAAAAGAATAACGGTAAAAAGATGAAAAAATTTTGTTACCAGCTATTATCGCGACTGTCGTTATCCACGTAATATTACAAATTATATGAGCAATTTTCCCGATCAAAAAAGATTATACATAGTTAATCGGGGCGTGAATTTTTTCAATCTCCTCGAGTAAAACAGATCGTTCGCCGGATTGTGCATCGGATGATATTATCATTCGCGTCAAGCAGATGCAACGCTCCGAGACACGCGTTGAATAATAAAAAGCAAGGAAGAGAGGGGGGGGGTGCACTATGTACATTTACATATAATTATCGAAGTACAAAAATATTGAAAAAGTTTCTGTTGGGATAAAGTAAAAATGACAAAAAGTTTGTGAAAAATTTTAAACTTTAAGAGTAAAATTTTCTTCTCAGAAGGTCGTTTTCTACGAGATCGAGATAAAATCCGTGACTTTTATACGCTGTAATATTGGTCACCGCAACCATGTGTTTTTGCACGTCTTTTTCGCGAATTAATGCTAACATATATCAAATATATTACACACGCGCATTCTTCGTGTACAACGCATGCATCAAAAAACGTTCGCGCATGCCATTCACTCGGCAATATATATATTTCATATGTTTCAGCGCGCAATCACGTGATAATATATATATTATTATATAATATGCATATATATATGTATATATATATACTTATATGTAATACCCTTCATGCGCATGGGTTAACATTACCGATTATTCGATTCTACGCGCAAGATTCTCGAACGGTTTTCGAGTTAACGAAAGAAACTCGGAATAACACCGACAGAGAAACGATTAGATGTTGAACGAAAAAAAAAAGATCCTCGAACATCATGTCTCAGATGGATTCAGTAATTATTGGCGGCGCTATTACGGAGAAACTGATCGATCTGACCTACTGACAGGGCCGTAGTGGCGGAGGCTTTTAAAGGTGCGACGTAATAAAACGTCTGGGGTTCTCTCTGGGATTCCAACAGCTGAAGCCTGTGAGACGTCTGTTGTTGTTGTTGTTGTTGTTGTTGTTGCTGCTGGTGCTGCTGCTGCTGCTGGTGCTGCTGGCGACGTTGTTGTTGCGCGTATAGCTGCTGGGATTGCTGCAGCAGTTGCGCCTGCTGTTTCCTGTAGAGTACTTCCTGGGGCTGAGCTACGGTCGGAGCGGGCGCGGACTGGGCCTGCTTGTAGACCGGACGCTGGGCTTGGAGCTGCTGCAGCTGCTGGAGATTGAGCAGGGACTGGGGCTGGGCTACGAACGGTTGGAGTTTGTGACTGAGACTAAAGTCACCCACGGTCTGAGGCAATGACTGATAAAGCTGGGTATTGTACTGACCGGTCGCGGGATCATACACGAGCTCCGACTGGTAGATGGGTTCGGCGGCGGCTGCGGGGGCGGCTGCAACCGGTGTCTGACCGGTCAGCTTACCTCTCGAGGACGAGGCGGTTTGGGCGGCCTGAGATCTCGCGGCGGGAACGGCGGCGGTGGCGGCAGTGGCGGACACATGAGAACCGAGTGAGTTCACGTAACGTTCAAGCTCGGCGGCAAAGTCGAGATGGGGCGTGGCGGTCGTGGTGCGCAGTTGAGGTGATATTGTTGGGTGAGTTTGAGTGTACAAAAGACCGTCAGGGCGTTCGGTGCTACTGGGAGAAACATATTGCGCGGCTACTTGAGCTACATGGGGTCTTGGAGTAATCGCGACCGACTGAGGTCTAGGATGACGAGTAACCGGTCTGCGAGTGGTCGTTTCGAGCGACTGATAGACGCTCGAAGCGACCGTAGGCTGACTACGAAGGACGGGAGCCGCAGTGGTTTGATATTGGGCTGCTGGGGTAGAAGCTAATCTATAAAAGGACGGACTAGGGGACGCCGAGGACTCATAAATAGCGCTAGAAGGTGTGACTTGCACCAAAGTCGAGGGTCTTCTAAAAGCTGAAGGTCGAACTTGAGGCTTCAGGTCTTCGTCAGTCAGCTCCTGGCTGGCGTCGTCGTCCAATTGATACTCCGTCTGGAATATCGTAGTGGGAGCGCGGGTGGTTGATGGTTGATAAGTAGGTCTCACAGGACGAGGTACAGGTCTGACGGAAGGATAATTTGCCGGTCCAGAAACATCATCCTTCTCTTCTTCTTGTATCTCTTCCTCTTCGTCCTTAGGCGCGTTCGGGTCGCATGGATTGCCTGAGACATAAGTAAATTCTCTCTTATTGCCGTCCGGATCAATGTAGCCGTATTTGCCGCGTACGACGCAGTCGGTGCCACGAGTCTCTTCTTTGAAGGAACCGTCGGCCGCTTCATAACCGAAGGTGAAGGACCCGTCATCGTTGACCTTGTTGTAATTCCTGATTGTTTGCACTGGCGGTGGTTTCGATGGGTGCAGCGCGTCCTTCGAACGTGGCGAAGGAAGTGCGCGAGTGCGCGGCTGATAAACCGCCACGCTGTCGAAGTCGTCCTCGGCCGCCTGGTTATCGTTTTCCTCGTAATATACTTGTGGCTCTGTCACGCGAGGACGAATCTGCACTCGCCTCGTTTCCGTTAGAGCGAGCAGACACGCCGGGATTACCTGATAACAGAAAAAATTTTATTACGCTGGACAGTTTTTAACACTAGTGTGATATATTATTATTATTATTATTATTATTAATGTGTCGATATACGACGTTACGCGTGTTGCGCACGAAAGAAAGTGACTCGCTAGATCGAAATTTTTTAAAAAATTTTACGGTGAAAACGGGAAATGAAGTGGGCGTTTTCGATAGAGAAATTGATGACCGTAAATGTTTTTTCGATCAAATAAATGTAGAAAGTGTGTAAGTTAACACAAATGAGAAAATATATAATTGTGATATTTAATATAATGTTACAGGTATTTGTTAACGCGCGTTCAAGAAACAACGAAAAAAAAAACTAACATAACGCGCGCGTTATCACACAATAGCGAGTAGAAATATACAATACATGTCAGACGCGGTCAAACGCGCGATCTTTTATATTCGCAAAGGAGGAAGTAGTTCGACCGTATCACGCAGGAGACGTAATCGCGAAATTGCTTACTAGAAGCAACGTGAATGCGAGAGTAACCGTAACTGGTTGATCTGGTTTCCAGGCACAAAGCCGGATCTACATCATGGACGTGCACTTATAGTCAATAGGAAGCAGAAGATGGAGAGAGCGAGAGTTTCGCGGATCGGTGAACGCTCGTGTACGCGCTCAAACACGGTATGCACACACGCAACAGAATTTCTTATCGCTTGCTCGAACGCGACCGAATGCTGTTAAACTCGAGCGCTAAGCACGATTACGACGACGTCGTAAAAGGTGTGGAGTCCGCCAAGATTACATCTGGCTTTTGTGCTACATGATCCTGTTGGGAAAAGTGTTCCGTTTTGATTATTTCGGTGTTCGCAAGAGTAAAATATAATTCATAACAAGAAATATATAAGGCCTTACGAGCCAATCGCAGGATGTTTGAGCGGAAACTGTGCGCGTATATATATATATATATATAT